ATGAATGCATTCATAATTGCCTTGTTTTTGTTTTTGCCTCTCAGATAAGAGGCAGAGAAGGGGGAGGAAAGGACCTGCAGACTTGGAGAGTTTCCTAAACTGGACTCCTCTTCTAGGAGTTCTGTGATTCTTTCCATGCCAGTCCCCTCGCTCTCCTGGAGCTTCCTGGACTGGAGGAAATAGGAAGACTCCTTCGTGCTGGGCATGGAGGTGCACACCTATGATCCCAGCTATTGGGGAAACAGAGACATAAGGATTACAAGTTCAGGGTGGGCCTGAGCTACCTAGTCAATTCAAGGCTATCTGAGCAATGCAGTAAGATCCTATCTCAAAAAAACTGGGGGAAAAAATGGAGTTGTGGAATACAGTTTGGTGGTAGAATGCTTGCTTAGCCTAAGGTTCTGAATCCAGTCCCCAGCAGCACAAAAAGAAGAAAAGAAATTTTGGGGTTGGGGATTTAGCTCAGTGGTAGAACGCTTGCCTAGCAAGCGCAAGGCCCTGGGTTTGGTCCTCAGTTCCAGAAAAAAAGAAAGAAACAAAGAAATTTTTTTTTTTTAATGAATTGAGCCAAGTTTGTGCAGAGTAGAAGCCCCAAAATGGATACAGGAGGGAAGAAGGAGGGCAGAAAATTAGAAAGGGAGAAGAAAGTTTGGATTTTGTGAATATGGGGTTTCCTCTAAGGCTGGGAAACAGAGTTCCTCCAAGGAGTCTCGTTGTGGAGACTTGGGAGCTCTGGGCTTAGAGTCTAAAATTACTTCTAAAGCCGGACATGGTGGCACATGCCTTTAACCCCCGGCATTTGGGAAGTAGAGGCAGGTGGATCTCTGTGAGTTTGAGGCCAGCATGGTCTACAGAGCAAGATCCAGGACAGCCAGGGCTACACAGAGAAACCCTGTATTAAAAAACCAAACAGAAAAGAAAAACAAGTAACCCCTAATTCCAGTGTGAACTGGTGAAAATCATTCCCAGTGCTAAAGTGAAGTCAGGAAAGCTTGTCAGACAGGATGTACTTTGCTGCTTTGAATTATTTTGGGGGGAGGGGAGGAGTGAAGACATGGCCTGCAGGTGAGGTATCCTGCCAGAGAGGAGGCTGGTTACCAGGACTCCGTCCTCCATGCTGATGTCAAGGCGTTGTGGGCTGTGCTCTCTTTCAGCCAGTGTCCCATGTTCGGTGGCCCCAGAAAAGTCAGTGTGGAGGCCTCAGCCACCCCAGGTCCGACGTACATTCTCGCTGGACACCGTCCTCAGTTCCTACCTTCTGGGCCAGTGGCCACGAGATGCCGATGGGGCCTTCACCTGCTGTACCAATGACAAGGCCACCCAGGTAATGCAGCTGTCTCCTAATGGGATCAGGAGGGAGAGGAGGGCTGGCTGAGGGGGCCTCTGGTCCATCACTCTCATTGAAATGACTTGTCCTGGGTTTTGGTTCTCTTCATCCTCTACTGTTTACCAGGGTTTTTGTTGTTGTTGCTGTTATTTTTCTTTGTAAATGTAGATGAAAAAGAGTTTGCATTCTATCTGCCTGGTGAAGAGAGATGTCAAGCTGGGGTTTTCAGAGTTTACATGTGGGGTCTCCACAGCCGACTTTGGAATTCGGGATTTTTAAAATGAAATTTGCTTTCCTGAAGTTACACTCAAGCCAACATTCCGTCCAGTTTGCATTCCCCCAGGCAGCCGAGGAAGTGGTCAAAGCAGTGTTGAGCCAGGCTCGACCCCATTAGAGCAATAGGAGTAAGGCATTCTTGTGAGGAGCTGCACCTTGCTAGCAGCCAGGCTAGGGCTCCAGGGCACCCATCTGAGTCTTGCAGACCCCAGCTTTCTCTCCTGTGTTTTCATGAAGAGTCCTGCCCTTGGAAGGGACCTCCCTCTGTGTGTCCACCTTTTGGATAAGACCGTGTTAGCCTGAGCAAGAAGTCATCCCATCTGGAAACCACCCAAAGATATTTCCTAGTCTGACTCAGGACTTCAGTCTTCTTAGCAGTTAATTTGGTGAGAGTAAGGCTCCCGTTGGGGGCAGTTTAGGCTGAGTCCTGCTCAACTTCAAAACAGCTGGGTTGTTCTTCTATAGGTGGAAATGTAGGAAAGAACATCCAGCTCGCCTCCGCCCTCCGTTCTGGGTAACAGGACGAGAAGGAGCGAGGCAGCTCTTCCTTTGCATTGTTGAGTAGAGTGTATCTGTTCTGCCCACATACATGCTGCATGATGGCCAAGGGATGTAGACCCCCTTCCCATGCAGCTCACTCTGCCTCCTTCTCAGCACATCTCATTGGTTCCTTTCTTTTTATGAGATCGATTTTCAAATGTTATTAATGAATGTTTGAATTTGCTCACTCTTTTTCAATGGGAACAAGATTTGGTTTCTTTGAACCTGGTTTCCAGTTCCCTGCAGGCCAGTGAACAGCCAAGGGTTGTCATGGAGTGAGTGTCTGGCAGAGTTTGGAGGAGCAAGATTCTCCCGGAAATGCCCCCATGTTGCACCGGAAATAACTGAAACAAGTTTAAGATAGTAAGGTGACGACAATGGTCCTCTTTAGATGTGCAGGTGGAAGGGGAGAGGAGAGGAGTGGGCACCCTCCTGGGAACCCAGCACTGTTCTCTCTTTATCCTTTTAACAAGGTTCTCTCTTGTGGGCCTACGAGGACATACTCCTTTTCATTGACTCAGGCCAGATAATGTACTTAATCAAGGAGGGCTCCCTGCAGGAGTGGGACTTGAGGTTGCTTCCAGTAGGTGGACTCATTAGCATCCTTTGTTAGACATCAGGCAGTTGGACAGCCCACTTATCCCTACCTCTGTCACTTCCTGTTTGCCAGCCTTCTGCAAAGTGACCATCCCACTCCTCACATAGCTTTCTCCTTGTCACCCTTCGGCAGGCCTGGCCTCAGGCATCCTCTGGCCAAGTGGAGTGGCCTGGGTTCTCAACTGCATGTTTTTGCTTCAGCTCCAGCTGCAGGCCAGATCTTTTATATAACAAGTCTGGGCTTCTTGCCACAGCAAGACAGAGGTCAGCGATGTGCCTCCATGGGTCTGGCAAGGCCCAGCCCTCCAGCTTTCTTCTTCCCTGGGATGGGCTCCAGCCCTCGAGGAACTCTTAGCAACCTGTCAATATTGTGGCTGCAGGCAAGAGGTGGGAGAATTCTGATCAGCATAAAGCATCCAACCCCAAGTATGCGCTCTGCCCGTCTTCCAGTCCTGCTCTTCAGGGAATTTTCTGCTTCTAGGTTTGGGCTCCACTCAAATTCCTGCTGGAGGCCCCTGGCCTGGCACAAGCTGCCGTTTTTTAGCACTGGCATTACACTGTAAAAGCCTTAGACTCAGTTGCCATCTCCCCAGAAGACCTTGTACCTCCTTTCTAAACAGCAAGAGGTCACCCAGAAAGGACAGATAAAGAAGGCATTTTCAGGGAGTATGGGGAAAGGAAAAGAGGAGGAGGGAGGCTAGATCTATTAAGGTCTTTGAAAGCTTATATAGTTAGTTAGTTAGTTAGTTAGTTAGTTAGTTAGTTAGTTAGTTAGTTAGTTGGTTAAATAGTTGGAGATGGAGCCCAGGGCCTCGAGTGTGCAAGGCAAGTGCTTGTGCTGTAACACTGAGCTGCATCCTGAGCTCATTAAAAGCTTTTCAGCCGTCGGGCATGGTGGATGCCAGAGCTTTCCCAGTTGCTTTGAGCAAGCCAGCTAGTCCTACCCTTCCCCTCCGTTGTTCCCCTTCTCTCCTAGCCACAGCAGTCATGGTCTGATTCATTCAGCTTAACTGGCAGGTACTTGTTACCGCTCTCTTGGGTGCCTAGACTCCTTTTGTTGGAGGCCGTATCATACCTGACACTCCCAGGGACATGGTTTTCAGTTAGGGCTGAGGCTAAGCAGCACCTTCCCAGAAAATCCCCAGAAGGACCAGGGGCCTTGCTCATTCCAAGCCAGTGTCAGCACGAGGCCCCAGACACACAACAACCTGCCATTAGAGAGCTGGGTGTGCTGTGTCCTCCGGGCCTCTGCACAGGGCAGAAGATGATTGAAAACTCTCAGCACCCGAGTCTACGGTAATGTGGTCGGCACTCTCAGGCTCCCCTTCCTGGCCATGCTGTATGCCTTCAGTCAAGCATGAAGCCAGTCCTCGGGCAGCCATCGATCCACATGGGAGCTAGGATCCTCACATAGTTGAGGCCAGAGGAACAAATGGAAGATGGGAGGGTCTTATCTGGGGAAACAGCTATTCTAGGAAGAAGGAAGGAGTGTGATTGTGACAACTGGGGAGGGGTACTCGGGAAGTACCGCTTCATGGTTTGTGTCTTTTGCAGTGTTGAGAATGGAACCCAGGGCCTGCACATGCTAGCCAAATGCTCTGCTCCTGAGCTATACCTAAAACAAGCCCAGCATGTTTTGAGCCTGGAGGAACAATGTGAAAGGTGTGAACAGGTGTCCCCAGCATTAGCTTCCTGAGAAGGCAGTTACTCCCCCAGTCCCACCCCTGTGGCGTCTCCATTTTCTGTGGGAAGTCCTGTGTCTAAGAGGAGGTTTTCAGAATGGCCTGGGTGTGATTTTGAGTGTGGCCTTTGAGTGTGATTTCTCCGCAGTGGCCCGCCCTTCCCCCAGGCCATTTGGTAACCCAGAGCTGGCCACCAAGTGCTTTTGAGTCAGTCTCTCCCGAGTGGCAGGGCCCAGACCAGGGCCAGCGATGGCAGCACATGCCAGTGGCTGTGGTCACCTCTCTCCCTTCGTGCTGTGCAAAGCATCTAAGCCTTGTACTCTTCTGGAGGGGGAAGTGGGCTTACCACAGCTGGGATGGCTGTTTGAGCGAAGTTCCCCAGCTGGTGGCATCCTGCCCACAGAAGGGACTTTGGGTACCTGCCCTGCCTGGCTCCACCCACACTCTGCTTCCTTGCATCCCCATTTCTGCTTCATTCATTGGTAAGATAGGAAAGCCCTTGTGATTCTCCTCCCCACATGGACCTCTGATTTAGCGTTTGGGGGGGGGGGGGGGGGATAGCATAAGTCCTTAACAGACATCATAGAGCATCCCAGAGGCCAGAGGTAGAGTAGCTTACTGGTTGGAGAGGACTTCCTTTCTGTCTTTTTCCCACCTGTGGCAGCAGGGGTGGGACCGAGGGGTCCTCCCTTTCCCTGAGCTATTACCTCAGTGCTCACTGATGGCACATAATTCAGCGTGACCGTCACAGGCTTTTAACAACTTTTTCTTTGTGGGTGTGAGAGCTTGGGCACAGAGCCTGTTTTCCAAACTAGCGACCAGGACCAGTGGTTCAGGACATGGTTTGACAATACAGCAAATACTTGAAAATGGAGTCACGATGGAAAAGCTGAGGGTCGTCTAGTCACTGTTGAGTTAGCAATGGTGGCTTTGGCCACCTGCAGCCAGAGTTCTCGGTACTGGCCAGTGGACCACCCTCAGAGCCTTTTTGTTTGGCCAGAGTCCCAAGGGACTGGCTCCTTGCTGAACTGAGCTAGTCATGTGGCTCCCCAGCCAGGTCCCATGCTGCTCTTTATTTCTAACAGATACAGTGGGTAACGTTCTTAAGACTCAGCCCAGCTCTGCAATCAGAATATGCTCAGGAGCCAAGGGCACTGGAGACATTGAGAGCCTGGACTCTTCCCCGTCTGGTCATGACCTCCAGGTAGAAACTTAGCCGTGTTGGAAGCCAAAAAAGACATTCCAAGCTGGGCGGCGGTGGCATACACCTTTAATCCCAGCACTTGGGAGGCAGAGCCAGGCAGATCTCTGTGAGTTCGAGGCCAGCCTGGTCTACAGAGCGAGATCCAGGCCAGCCAGGACTACACAGAAAAAACCCTGTCTCGAGAAAAAAAAAAAGACATTCTAGTGTGGAGGATTCCATCCTCCTTCCTTTTGTTACCCTGTCAGCTCCATGGGAAGCTGTCTTCCACTCCATGCCCATCTCTCCTTCCGCGTATCGCCCTGGAATCTTAGAATCCCTGGCAAGGCATTCATACTCTACCCATGCATGTCCAGTTCTGTACAGTCTGAGCAGCTCCACAGCTGGCTGCTCCACAGCTGGCTGTTCCACTCACGGCTCGTAAGTCAGCTTACTCCGTACCCAGTTGCTTCCTTCGCCAGGGTGTGGAGTAAGTCCATTCTAGTGCATGAGTCCCCTGACAAGCATGACTCTTGGGTCTTCTATGCCTTAGACTCTCCTTTATACAAAGGGACTAGAGTGACCACTCATACTGCCGTCCCACAGCTTGGCCTGACCCTACCTGGTGACCTCCTTGAGATGGGTCTTAGCTGTGACTTTACTGTTCCCTAAGGAGAGACCATGATCTAGACCTTTGTAGTGAGGCTCAGGAAGGAGGGTCCTGAGCAACCAGGGGGCACAGTCGTCGTCTCCCCTTGACATACCTACTACAGTTAGAGAGGCAGAAAGTTAGACTGTGATACAAGCTAGGCTTGACAGTACTCACAACAACCTGGAAGCAGCTTGGAGGTCAGGCGTCCCTGGTGTGTTACGTTCCTGGGGTGCCTAGCAGTGACTCCAGGCTTCATGGCTTAAGACAGCAGATGTGGGGCTGGAGAGATAGCTCAGAGGTTAAGAGCACTGACTGCTCTTCCAGAGGTCCTGAGTTCAATTCCCAGCAACCACATGGTGGCTCACAACCATCTGTAATGAGATCTGGTGCCCTCTTCTGACCTGCAGTCATAATGCTGTATACATAATAAATAAATAAATCTTAAAAAAAAAAAAAAAGACAGCAGATGTGTATTCCCTCAGAGTTTTAGATTTCCAGAAGTCTCCAAGTTCAGTTGTAGTAACTCGACATGAAAGTATTGGCGTGGCCAAATGCTCTCAGAAGCTGTTTTTCTTTTATTTTTTGTGGTAGGGTCCTTACTATGGAAGGTTGGCCTTGAACTGATTGTGTAGCCCAGGCTGGCCTTGAAAATAGTAGTCCTATAGCCTCAGCCTCCCATGTGCTGGTGCAGGTGCATAACATCTGGTTCAGGATGCCATGATCTTGGGGGCGGGGGTTTCCTCCTTGCCTCTTCTGGCATCAAGTGGCTTTTTGTTTGTTTGTTTGTTTTTGTTTTGTTTGTTTGTTTTTTTGAGACAAGGTTCCTGTGTGTAGTTTTAGTTCCTGTCCTGGATGTCGCTCTGTAGACCCGGCTGGCCTCGAACTCGCAGAGATCCGCCTGGCTCTGCCTCCCGAGTGCTGGGATCAAAGGCGTGCCTGGCTCTCCAGTGGCTGTCTTAGCTTATAGCACCTTGCTCTAGTCTCTGCTTTAGTGGTCACATTGCTGCATCCTCTCAGCATGTACCAGCTCCTTCAGCCCCCTCTTACAAGGACACTGGCAAGACTGGGAGTGACCATCAGGCACACCATCTTAAATGGGAAGAGGCTTAGAGACCAGTGGGTGAGGGACAGAAAAGGAGAGAGATGGCTTTGCCTGGGATGACGGTGGGGTGATGATCCCCTTGGGCAGATGGTAGATGTTGAGATAAAGCGATGCCCTTAGCATTCCATCTACACAGAGTGGGCAGTGGTTGGTGCTGAGGAGAGGGAGGCGGGGAGTGGAGTAGGAGAGGAGACGGTCCCAGCTGCCAGGAGTTTTCACATCCTTCCTCCACTCCTGTGCCAGCCCACACTTCCCTTTTCCTCCTTCGCGTCTCCTAGAAGAAGGTGGTTGAAGCATTTGAAGAGGGGTTAGCAGCCAGCTGCAAGCTGACCCGGGGTGTTTCGCCTTTCACCACCCGCCTCTCAGCGGCCAGGAGTGAGTTTGCCTCCTCTCTCCTCTGTGCTCTTCGCTCCTATTCCAGGGGTGACAGGGATGTGTGGGACTCAGCTGTACTAGCAGCACTGGTGATCTGCCAGCTTGCCTTAGGCATACCAGGAAAGGAGGGCATGCGGGTGTCTGCAGAATCCTAGCAGCTGAGGGGGAAATGGGCTGTGTTCCCTGTCAGCCCGTGCAGCTCTTCTGAAGTCAGACACCCTGGTTTAGGAGACATGGACATCTGGAAGGAGATCAGCTACTTGGTTCCCAGAGACTGTAAGAGCCAGCGTCACCTGAGGGCTTTGGGCACATGCTACATTCCTGGCTGCCCTTTTCATAAAGGAAGAACGATGGGAATGGGCTGAGGACGTGCTCCCTGGTGATGCCAGTTATCTTACTCGGGCCTGGTGAAGGTCCTGCTCATGGGCGGCAGCAGCAGACAGGAAGGGCCAGAGGCTCCGTCTGCAGAGGCTTCTCTGCATGCAGCTGTCGCACGAGGCAGTCCTGCCTCAGGCTGCCCAGTGAGCTCCTCTTAGCAGCTGTTGGGTGGTGAGGAGCCTTGTTTCCTCCTGATCCTCCCCCGCTCTGTGTGCAGCAGCCTCTCAGGGGAGGTCAGCAGATCTCTTAGAGGAGCTAGTTCCCAGGCTCTGCGTTTTTGGCAGCCTGTGCACAGTAGTCAGAGAGGAATTGGTCCCACTGGAGCCCTCCCCTTGGCCCCTCTCCTGGAATGGAAGTCGGATGTTAGTGATGGGGAGGGATCTGGGCCGCTTGAGCTTCATGCTTGAAGCCAATAGCTCCTCCACCACCATCTTGGATCCCCTGTCTTCATGCAGCAGAGAGAGGAAGGCAGCAAATGGGAAGTCCTTCCCCACGAGGAGCCAGGAAGGCCCGTGGGGAGGAGGTGTGAGCGGGCCATTCAGAATTCTGGCTCCATATTTTGAAATTGTCTTTTCCTTGCTTGTTCAGGAGGACTTTGAAGTTCCCGACACTCCCTCTGTGTGATGAAGTGAGCTTGAGGCACCATGGTACACAGTTGCCACCTGCTTCATCCAGAGGCACCCATGGAGACCTTTCTCCTGGCTCCTCTTTGGAATCCTGTCTGGTGACTTGTTTTTCATGGGCTCCTAGGCACTTGGCCTTGGCCTTGGCTTAGCACACAGGGAGTGAGAATAAAGGATACAGGGCTCTTTTGAAGCGGCTTGGGAGAGAGACAGTACTTGGCCTTACCATTGGAGCGTACCCAGACTGACTGGGTATATAACACATGAAAAAAGTGATAAGGAGCTGGGTGGCGGTGGCGCACGCCTTTGATCCCAGCACTTGGGAGGCAGAGGCAGGAGGATCTCTGTGAGTTCGAGGCCAGCCTGGTCTACAGAGCGAGATCCAGGACAGGCTCCAAAACTACACAGAGACACCCTGTCTGGGGGGGGCGATAAGGAAAGGAGGAACGAGGATGGAGCTCAGAGGCAGATTTGCCTAGCATATGCAAGGCCCTGGGTTCCATACCCAGTACCAAACACACAATAGAAGAACTAAAAGAGAGAGGAGGTCAACACTGTTAGACCTTGGGGAAGGGTTCCTGGAGAGTAAAAATTGGGATAAGGCCATGTCCATGGCTTTCCTTCCCTGGAAGACTAAAGCAGCATGGGTGTGTCCACGAGGTTGATGAACAGATGTGAGAAGGCTTCATAGGTCACCACCTCTATCCAGGAAACCGCCTGGCTGCTTCCTGCCTGCAGAGCTGCCTGTCTGACTGCATGTCTTTCTACAGACACCCCTATCCTGGCAAGAGCCAGAAGGTGAGCGGGCCAGCTTCTGCATGCACAAGCGATCAGCATCGTGGGGCAGCACAGACCACCGAAAAGAGGTAACCGCCCTCTCTCCACGACCCCTCTATCTCCTGGCACTGTGTGACAGTTTTACCTGAGGAGAGCTACATTTCCAGTCTCTCTTGCCTCTTGCTTCTGAGAGAATGGCTCTTCAGCTGACTCCCAACCTTCCATTGGCTTGGTTGTAGGACCACAGACCCTCTTGCCAGGGAAAACCCAGCCAGTGACTGCTGATGGTTCCAGCATCCAGACTGGGAGAGTTGTTCGCCTTAGTTACTTTGGGGTTGGACTCTCGTAAGTGATTCAGAGACTGAAAGAAGGCAGGGAACAAGCCCCTGGGAACCAGGAGCTAGCTCCCAGCCTCATTTACTACTTAATCATCCACCTACTTTTCTTTTAAAAGAAGAGAAAAATAATTCTGAGTTCCTAAATGCTTTGTCTTGGCCCTCCCTCTGCCCCAGGAGGGCTCGAGGCATTGAGACTGAGGAGAGAAAGCCACAGACTAGAATTCCAAGGCTTCTAACCCAGCTCTGCCTGAAGTGTCATGCGGTGACTCCAAAGGAAAGGTCAGTTTACCAGGACTCATCCCTGACCCGTTCACAGAGGGAAGTTCTTTCTGCCCTCCTTGATGCTTAGAGCACTGAGAAAATGGAAAGTGATTGGACTGCAAGCTTAAGGCCAAGTGGAAATGTAAAAAGTTCTTAAAGCCTTGACTGGCAGAGTAAACAAATTCTGCACAGGAAGGGTGGGGAGTCCTGGTCTTCATGGTCTGGTTGATCCACAGTAGCAAGTCGAAAAACACATTCTTGGGCTGGGAGATGCAGCCCAATGGTAGATTGCCTGCTTAACCCTGGGTTCAGTCCCCAGCACTGTAATTACAAAGCATTTTCGAGGGGCTGGAGAGATGGCTCAGAGGTTAAGAGGACTTGTTCTTTCCAAGGACCCTACTTCTGTTCCCAGTATCCACGTGGTAGCACACAACGATCAGTAACTCCAGTTCTGGGGGAATCCAGTGTCCTCTTTTGACCTCCACAGCCACTAAGCAAACATGCATGCAGGCAAAACACTCATACACATAAACTAAATAAATCTAAAACAATTTAACAAAGCGGTTTCTTTATAACTTTTATGGCAGTGAGCAGCAGATCTACTTTCTGAATTCCATTAGGCTCCCTCCCATTCATATAGTTTTGTGTCCTGCTCAGGGTTTAAAGGCCTAGAATTACAAGTCTGATAGGAATCATATTCAAAAGTATTTGTCTGCTTGTTTGGCTTGGGGTTTTTTGACAGGGAAGAGGGCAGGATATTACTGTATAGCCTAGGCTAGCTTCAAACTAAAAATTCTGATTCAGCCTCCCAAGTGCTGGGGTTATAGTAGGCTTGTTCCTTGATGACCAAAAAATGTTAGTGATACCCTATATTGTTACAGGGCCCGGGAGTCAGGATGAAACATGGTCGGTCCTTCTAGAGCACCTATCTTTCTGCAGTGTTGTTTGCTTTTAAATGAGGAGAATGGTTGGATTTCCATACTCTCTGGTCTCAAAGCCTTTGGAGTACTTGAGAATATCATTTGAGAAATTGTTTTTGACCCTCAGAAATGCCACTTTCAGCCAGGCATAGAGGCACCTGCCTATAACTCCAATACTACTCAGAAGGCTAAAGCAGGAAGGATTGTTGTGAGTTCAAAGCCAGTCTGGACTACACAGAATGATACCTTGTCTCAACGAAGGAAAAAGGAAAAACAGCCAGTTTGGAGAGATGGCTCAGCAGTTAAGATCATGCATTGTTCTTACAAAGGACCAGAGTTCAGTTCCCAGCACCCATGTCAGACAGCTCCCAGCCACCGATATGCAATTCCAGCTCCAGGGGGATCCAGTGCTTCTGGTCTCTATGAACACCTGCACTCACCTGCACACACAGACTCACACCCATACACACAATTAAAAAAAGAAGTCTTTGAGAAACATTTTTAAAATTTAGATTTTATTTTATATGTATGAATGTTTTGCCTGCATGTATTGTCTTATTTACCAATGTATGACTGGTGCCCACAGCATTCAGAAGAGGGCATTGGATCCCCTGGAACCTAAGTTACAGATGGTTGTGAGCCATCATGTGGGTGCTGGGAATTGAACTCAAGTCCACAGCAAGAGCAGCAAGTGGCAAATGTTTTTAATCACTTAGCCATCTCTCCAGCCTCCTGAAAAACAGAGACCATCCATTACCCTTTTTTGTTTTTATTTTTTTGAGACAGAGTCTTTCTATGTACCCCCAACTATCCTGGTGCTTGTTATGTAGATCAGGCTGGCCTGGAACCCATAGAGATCTACCAGCCTCTGCCTCTCAAGTGCTGGAATTAAAGGCATGTGCTTCCATGCCTAACCCCATGATCTTAGTAGAAGAGTGTCCCTTACAATCCATAACCATGTTAGATGTTTTCTGTTTAGAAACCGATTCACCTAGGGAATGCATGGCAGTTGAAAAAATCAAGTCTAGAAGCAGTGGATCCAGCTTAGTTGAGGAGCTGATTGTCATGGGATTTAGCACCACTGAGCTGTTTTGAGATTAAAAAATTGACGTCCATGTCCCTTTCCTGTATCTTCAGGGACAGCAGCTTCACCTAGGGGAAGGAACCAATATACTTTGCCTTTGCCTCACACTCCTTTCTCCTCCATCTCTGGCTGCTAGATCACCAAGTTGAAGCAACAGCTGCAGAGGACGAAGCTGAGCCGCAGTGGGAAGGAGAAGGAGCGGAGCTCCCCTGTCCAAGGGGACCATGCTGTTCGGGGAATGGTGAGGGTATGCTATCTCCCCTGACCACCAGGCCCCCTCTGTCTTCCTTCTTGGCAGACTTCCATAGTGTATAGAGTTCTCTCCAGCCTTGTAGCACTGAGCCACATTAATGTTTCATGGTCACATGGATGACCAGGCGAAGTTGCATTGGAAGGTCCCCTCACTGTTTTTAGCACCTTTTTCCTCTACCCCCAATCACATGCGACACTAACAGCATCCCTGAGATACCTCAAAGTTCCAGCTCCTGGAGAAAGCCCCTCTGAAGAAGAAAGCTATATGGACATGATATATACTCTTGGTCATAATTGATAACTGACTGGGCTTGGTGGGGACGTCATGTGATTGCTTCATTTGCCTTTCCTTAGGCACCCCTTCCCAGCTTCCCCCCAGGGTCCCCTGTCCTGCGACTCAGCCCTTGCTTGCACAGAAGCCTGGAGGGACTCAACCAGGAGCTGGAAGAGGTGTTTGTGAAGGAGCAGGGTGAAGAGGAGCTGCTGAGGGTGAGTGGGAGCTGCCCTGAGTGTACTGAAGGCTGTACCTGTGAGAGGGGGGATAACAGTGTCACTCTTTGGGGTTCTCAGGCTGTAGCTCTGTAAGCAACAACCTGTAAACACCACCTTCCAGAAGTACACATGTGGAGTTCATTGGTCTCAAATGGACTTAAGCATAAGAACAGCAGGGCGGGGTGTCACTAGGGAAGGCCTCGTGGTGGAGACAGACATGTTAGTTATTCATCTTTGCTGTGACAGACTGTCTGCTCACATTTCCAGCTTCCACATATGGTAACGAGAGGCTGAGACTGACGGTTTTATTCTGTGTCAGTTTTTATGCTGATACAGTTGGATTAGGGACTGGGTATAGGCCTCAGTTGGTTATTTACCTACTGGCTGATTTGTATTTATTATTTATTTGTTTTGAGACAGCATCTCACTGTGCAGCTCCCATTGCAGGAAGCAGAGAGCAATGAATGCTTGTGTCCAGTTTGATTGTACTTTTGATTCAGTCTGGGACCCCTGCCTGGGGAATGGCGCCATGCCCATTTACGGTGGGTCTTCCCACCTCAGTGAACCTAACCTAAGTAATGCCTCACAGATATGCCCAGAGATTGTTTCCACTGGGGTTCTAACTTCCATAAAGCTGACACGCAAGATTCACCAGGACAAATGAGCACAGAAGAGAACCCTAGCTAGGAGGAAACTGTCCACCGACAGGTCCCTGAGGACTGGGCACCCTCACCCACGTGTGTCTCAGCTCCTGCCACCTCACTTTCAGTCACCACTTCCCTCCCTCTGTCTCTACTGGTGACATGCAGCAGTCAATCCTTCATGCCCAGGTGCCATATGTAGCCTTTTCCCTGTCCCGCAGGCAAAATTACCAGCTACCTCTTTTGCAATCTTGGGCACATTTTTATACTGACAGTTTAATTACAGAATGGCAGTTGGGCAGTATGAACATAATTCTGATGGGTATAGACCTCAGTTTGTTATTTACCTACTGGCTGATTTTTATTTATTATTGCTTATTTACTTATTTTGTTCTTTTGAGACAAGGTCTCACTATGTAGCTCTGGCTGTCCTGGAGCTCACTGTGTAGACCAGGCTGGTTTGGAACTCACAGAAATCACCTGCCTCTGCCTACCAAGTGTTGGCATTAAAGGTGTACACCACCACACCCAGCTTCTGGTTGCTTTTTAAATTGGATATATGTAGGATTTCATATGCCCCCAAACACATGCACACAACTAGTTCACTGGGGTCCAAATACCATCAAATGTTTAAAAAGGAGGATGATAGGTATTCAATGTATGATAACCATCTGCACATTTGTCCTGCAGTGGCTTATAGCATGTGTGCTGTTCTGGTACCTTGCCCCTCTTATGTCACCCTGTGTATCAATCACCTTTGTGTCCAAGAGACTCGTACACAGAGGGGCACTGATCACATGACACAAATGAACGGGACTGTACAGTGGACTAACAAGCCTCGAGGGAAAAGACCAAAAGTGCTCTGGGAGAAACAGTTTCTCCTAGACTGAAGGTAGGTCAAGGAATAAATGACTTGAGGAAGTGACAGTCTTCTGTCCTCGAGGCTAAGAGAAAAGGTGCAGAGAGTCTCCTGGGGGTCACTGCAGTCACCGGGCTGAGTAGGCCCTGGCCTGAGTCTCTTCTCCTTCCTCATCAGATTCTTGAGGTCCCTGATGGGCACCGTGCCCCAGCTCCTTCACACAATAGCAGCTGTGACCATCCCCTCCTCCTCCTGGAACCAGGCAACATGACCAGCTCTCCCTCTGTGCCCCTGGCATCCCCTCAGCCTCCTGGCCAGGCTAGCCGTGAGGAGCACCGGGGTGCCACTGAGGAGCTGACATCCATCCCCAGTGACAAAGGTAAGTCATGGAGCCAAGGCACTAGAGCTGGCTCTGGGCAACAGGAAGGGGGCTCCACTGGCCTTTACTCTGAAGCAGTTTCAGGCCTGGCATTATTATGAACCAGCCAGTGTCTGTGAGTTCTGCACACTCTACCTGTGATAATAATGGCCCTACAGCACTCTGACTCCTAGTTTATATTATAAAGTCTCTAACCCAAAAGAATAGCCTTTCCCATCCCTGTTATTTGGCTGAGGTTCAGGGCGCCACGGTAGAAAACCAGGGCATCTCCATTCAAGGGTCCCCTTGACTCATCCAGCTAGAGCTTCCACCCAGTTATAAATCAGGTAAAACAGTGCAGTCTCTTATTCAGGGTCCTGCATGTTTGACCCAGACTGACACTTCAGCTTTCTGGCTCTGAATTCCTACTTTCTCCCATGCACACCTTGGCCATCCACTGTATAAGGCAGGATCCTTCTAACACCGTATGTTGGAAAGCACTGTTACCCACACCATCTGACTCGCTGCTCACACTAACCCCGTGAGGTAGGCTAGCCGAGGGCACAGTCTGACAATATACACAGGGAAATAAACAGAGCACCGAATGAGGAGGAATAAATGTAAGAGAAACACAGATAAAGTCAATATTTGCAGCCTAGGCAAAGTGCAGTTCCAGGATGGAAAGTGAGAGAAATTTTATCCTCTGAGTGGGGTAGAGTCAAGGTTGCTTCTTGGAGTTAATACAAGAGTATTGTACAGGAGGGGATAGCATTTCCAAAATGCAGATTGATGAAGCTGTGGTGTTCCTCAGGCAGGGCACTGCTCCCAGGAGAAGGCAGAGGGACAGCAGGTAGTTCCCTTTATGTCAGAGAGCCAGGCACTCTCTTGGCTCCTGGGAATATAGGATTGAAAGGAATCTTTTTCTATCATTCAGCAATTTTGTCCCCTTTGGTGGTGGTACTGGGAATAGAACCCATGGCCTCATACTGCTTAGTAAGTGCTCTACAGCTGAGCTACACCACCAGCCTCAATGACATAGTATGAAATATGCCTGAATAGCAGAGCTATGTGGCCCCTTTGTACAGAAGGCTTGAGCTTAAGAAAGTGGAGGCTTTCCTTTGCCTCCATTGGTTCAACCCTGCTCTGTTTGCAGCCTCCTCTCCAGGCCGCCCAGCCTTCCTAGAAGATGGCAGTCCATCTCCAGTCCTTGCCTTTGCTGCCTCCCCCCGGCCCAATCACAGCTACGTCTTCAAACGGGAGCCCCCAGAAGGCTGTGAGAAAGTCCGTGTGTTTGAGGAGGCCACGTGAGTACATCCCATGGATGGGGCGTGGGAGGGAGGGGCAGCATGGAGGGTGAGCCTGTGTTATCCCACCTGACAGGTCCTTCTTCAGTCTCCACTCTCTCCGGTCTAGAGGTGCCGTTAACATCAGATGATCAGTCTCGCAGATTTTCCATGATCAAACTTGTTGACATTACCTACTCTGAGCACTTAAATCTTTGCTTATCATTATCTCCATAGAAACCTGCTTTCTGCCCACATGCCAGCCACAAGCACAGAGGGAGCTGGAAGGGAAAGAGATCTGAAACCTAAGCCTTTTGTTCCTTCTTTTTTATTTATTTATTTATTTTTTTACCATTCCTGGGGAAAGTATAAGGACTTGCTAGACCGTAATCAGAGAGGAGTAGGGGGGAAGCAGGCAGATAGATAGACAGGCAAGCAGGCAGACAGACAGACTGAATATGAATGCATGAACGAGAATGAACATACCAGTACTTTTTTACCCCCTGGCTGGCTGTTCAGTTCTAGCGTTGTGATCTTCCAGAAAGAAATCTAATTCTTGCAAGAAAGAACTTTGGAATATTCTCCAATCATATTGGATGGTTCAGAAGCCATCCACTGATCTCTTTACCATCTGTGTGGGTTTGAGGATAGCCGTTGCAGAGGCCACCCCAGTCCCCCCTGCAGGTCTGAGAGAGCTTGTTCTGTTTTCTCCTGCAGCTTTCTATTTGTTTGGGCAGATTCACACTGGAGTTGTGGTTTCGATAGCAGCCAGGAAGTTTAGTCATGGTGTGGGAGTAAAGATTTGGCTAGGTCTGGGTTTCGGGCATTGAGGGCACCATTTGTATCTCAACTGAGGGAGAAGACAGCCCATGGTGGTAGGCGTTCTGGAAAAGAACCACTGTCAGCAGGTCTTCGTTACTGTTCCCACTGCTGCCTGGTGTTCCTCAGGCTTCTGGTCCTCTGAGGTGTTGTGAAGGAAGAGGCTCTCCCTCAGCTTCTGCAGGCTGGGCTCTTCTAGCTTCCCTCCCTCCACACCATGAGCACAGATGGAAGTGAGGCTGTTCCTCATTGTGTCCCAGAGTCATGAAGCTAGAGGTAGTCTACCTCAGTCATCTCTAGCTTCCCACTCTGCATTAGACCTTTATGGAAGGTGCTGTTGATCAGTTATTTCCTAAGAACTCCTGGGCTTTCTTCAGTTTTCCTACAGAGAAATTCCTTATACGCATATATTTCTGTAGTTGGTAATAGAACGCAGGGCCTCGCACATTCACCCCTAGCCCAAGATACATTTTTAATTGTCATAACTAGGGAGAAGGAGACATGATCCTGCTGATATCCAGTTGGTACAGTCAGGGATGCTGTTAAATGTCCTGTGACATGCATGGCGGTACCTCTGACCATGATCCCTGCAACAGGGAATTATTCAACCCCAGATGTCAATAGGGCTAAGGCTGGGAGCCCTGCTTCAGGTCAAACCCACTGCAGCAGCAATGAGACCTGAGGGACCTGAAAGGTGGCAGAGTTTTTCAGGTTTTGCTCAGGTCACTATCCTCTCTGAACAGGGACCCAGCTCCCAGGGCGCCCTGCTGAAGCCCAGTCTCCCTTCTTTCACTGACTGTTTTTCTGTGTACTGACATGTCTGTCTTTCTCCATCCGTCAGGTCCCCAGGTCCTGACCTGGCCTTCTTGACTTCCTGTCCTGACAAGAACAAAGTTCACTTCAACCCGACTGGCTCAGCCTTCTGCCCTGTCAGCTTGATCAAGCCCCTCTTCCCCAGCATGGGCTTCATCTTCCGGAACTGCCCCTCCAACCCTGGCTCTCCTCTTCCCCCTGCCAGCCCCAGGGCACCACCTCGGAAGGATCCAGAAGCTTCCAAGGCCTCCTCACTGCCATTTGAGCCATGGCAGCGCACCCCACCATCAGAAGAGTCCGTGCTTTTCCAGAGCTCCTTGGTAGTCTGAGCCCCACCCCACTCCTTACACATACTCTTACCATGGAGACTAGTGCCTTGGTGGCAAGCTCCTCATTAGCTCCCCAAGCTGGGGGGTCGAGGAGCCCCTTCCCTCTTGGCCTTTGAGCACTTTCATTTATTGTGTCAAAGCTCCAGGTCCTTTGGACGTCAGCCCCTCCAAAAGGGAGGAGACTTACCTTCTCCACTAGCAGCTAGGCAGCTCACAACTTACACTTGTGTACCTGCGGCTTCCCTCACTTGCTAGAAGGTCTCGAGTCTTCTAGCCCAGGGTGTGAGTTCCAATGACTTATAGGAGGCTCTTGTTATGGAACAAGTTGGCTGTGAATGAGAGAGGGGAGATGCCACAGACTTCCTTACAGCCCCACCTCTAGAGACAGAGGAAAGCAGACCAGATGCCTTCCTCCTAGAGGAGCTGACCAAAGTGGTCCTCAGGGCCAGAACACTTGACCAATTCAGCTGTTGGCAGGGGGACCACGAGATTTCCCAAGTGGCATTTTCATCTCACTTTTACCCTGACTAAAGATTGTCTTAAGCAGCATCCCAGCCCAAAGTGGATAGTGGGAAGAGGGAGAGCTGGCACTCCTCCAGGTGGCATGTAGTGGCTCCATACCCTCCACCTACCCCAGGGTTGGGTTGGATTAGAAAAATGCCTATTTTTCTTGTATCGATGTAGAAACTCTATTTTCTCCCAAAGACACTATTTTTGCAACTATTTGAAGTTTGTATATTTTCCATACTGCAGAGCTTACACAAAATTGAAGAATGTTAATGTTCGAGTTTTCTTATCTTGTGTTTAGAGGTTGTTTTTTGCAGATCTTGATGTTAATAGACCAAATAAATAAGTATTCCAGCAGTTTGGGTTCCCTGAATCCCTGGGATGGGAGGAGTACGGTAGAATGGAAGGCTAAGGTTATAGCTGTCCCTTTAGCCTGTCTTCAAGAGAAGGAGCCCCATTTAACACATCATGGTCTAGTTGCTGTAAGGATGGGCCTTGCTAGAGACTCTTCCCGAAGACACACTAACGGTAGACTCATGAAGTCTTGTCTAGAATGGAGAGCATGATGTGTCCTGCAAGTGGATATGGGAGTCACTAGGGAAGGGGCTAACCATAGTCTGAAAAGGCTCCTGAGGGACAGGCGACTTGAGAGAGAGCATGAGGCAACTGAAGGGAGACAGTTTGACACTGCAGGTACTTCTTGCTTTGGCAGGGAAACAAGACCAGGGAATGACATGAAGCTAGGACAGCATTAAGGTTTTAAATTCATGCCTGTGTCTCAGTGAGTACCCAAGGCATAGTGTGCAGCCTTGGAGGGGGCACAGAAACTGATCTTGCCCTTTCATAGCCTCTCAGTTGGTGCTGCGCTGTAAGAACTTAGACACATGGGGCTGGAGAGATGGCTCAGCGGTTAAGAGCACTGGCTGCTCTTCCAGAGGTCCTGAGTTCAATTCCCAGCAACCATATGGTGGCTCATAACCATCTGTAATGAGATCTGACACGCAGGCAGAACACTGTATACATAACACACAATAAATAAGTCTTTAAAAAAAGGAACTTAGACACTTGAGAAAAGTGGGAATTGCCATCCCAACATTCTGTTAGTGCATGGAATTTATGAAGCATTTTGGCAAAAGACATTCCCATTCTATTGGGTGGAAAGTTTACCCTAATGGGTACAATTGTATCTGTCTCAGAAGACCTCAGGACAGACCCCTAGGCCAGGCTATCCCAACTACTACTATCTATTGGTTTGGTAATCACCACATACCAAGTTAGGGTATTTAAATGAAATGTCATTGGGAATATGACAACCGTTAGATGAGAGAAATATAAGCACCACTCTCTGAGTGAAGGGAGGTCAAAGAGATTGAATAACTTTTTCCAAAAAGACCATACCAAGTTGGGGAGTAAGAATTGGAACATTGATCGCTTCTCTCCACAGCTGGGGCTTCCTAACCACAGAGCTCTCCTGCTGGTTATTATATTGCCATGATTTCTCATGGGGAAACTCAACCCAGGTCAGGTGAATTGTCTGTGGTACCAGTTGGTAAATTAAAGAGGCAGAAATGGAATCCAAGACTCACCCAGTTACTGTTTGGTTCCCTGGAAGTGTCTGCTGATTCAGTAGAGTAAGTCAAAGGTCAGGAGTAAAAGAAGTGTGGGAATTCCTCTTCCCCAAAGGAGACACTAGGCAAGGGACAGAGCCCATCTTCTCTTAGTCCTCCTAGCCCTGAAAGATGGCTGGCTTGTCCCCAAAGTCTTAGTGAGTCAGGTCCCCAGTGATGGGTGTGGTTGCTGTCTGGCCTTTCCTTCCTTTGCCTGAGGCTGTGCCAGAGGAGCCAGGCTGCTAGAAGAGAAAAGCAGGCCAGAGGCCCTCGGCTGCCTGTGAATTGGAGTGGGGTTAGTCTTGTAGTTCTAGTCAAGCAGGTGGAAACCCAATCATTGGATTGGGGATGAGCCCAATAATGGGAAGGGGTGTGTGTGTGTGTGTGAGGGGTTGCTTCATTGGAGAGTTGGAAGGCCTTGAAAAAAATCACTTAAGTACTTAATGGGGGGTGGGAGGGCAGAGAAGAAAGGATTGTAAACTCAAGGTCATTCTCCTACATAGCAAGTTCGAGGGCAGCCTGAGCTACGTAAGATCCTGTCTCAGAACAAACAAACAACAAACAAAAACATTTCAATAAACTTGAAGTTTTCACCTCCAAGAGGTGAGGAAATAAAATTGAAGTTGAGAAAATGTGATGACTAATAATACCTCAAACTTGCACAGCACACTTTACAGTTTATAAAACACTTTGGCAAACCTTAGCTCATTGAATCCTCAGAACACTCAAGGGGTGACAGGGTGCTTATTACTAATTACTCCTAGTTTACAGAGTGAGAAAACTGGGGCTCAGAATTTAAGTAACACTGCTGTGCTGCCTTTAAGTGACAAGAGCGCTGGTGTATCACGGAGTCTGCCCTACGGGCTTCCTGTCTTGGAAACCTCAAGTGCCAGAAGACCTGTATTCCTCATCCAGGCCTTGAACGCCCCGTAGCCGGGGTTGGAGTCGCTGACGCTGGACAACGACTAGGGGGCGCTAAGGCACTATGAAGAGTCCTTGGCGTTAGGACCCAGCCGAGGCCTGACAGCCCATCGCAAAAAAGACTTTTGATTCACTCTCCTGGCCTCACCGCCTCTTTCTCCGCCCATCTGTCTATTTTCGCTCCGCGTAGCCAATTGATAACGTCCACATACTCGTACGTCATCACTGTACGCCGGGTTATCTCCTAGGCCTCCCCGCCGAGCTCCGGGTTGTAGGTGTCCTCGGCGTTGCCTGATCGGAAAATCTAGGGGATGAGGCCTTAACCTCGATATGGCTGGCTCTCCTGGCCACCAGGAATGGAACCAAGGTCTCAAGACCTGCCTTCTCTTCTAGAATGCTGCTGTCGGGGTGGGAGGCATTTCTCTTTCGGCAGCTGTGAGCTGGCAGTTCTGGAGGTGGCTGCTCCGTCCTACAAGGCGGCGGTCGCACGCAGCTCTTATGAGGTCCCTGCCACCGGCCGGCGATGTCCGCCTGGAGCTTTCGCCTTCGCCGCCGCTACCGCTACCTGCTCTGAGCGGGTCTCCGGCCGACTCGTCCGTGCGTCTCATGGCCGCTAGCAGATCCCTGGTGCCTGACCGGCTGCGCCTGCCGCTGTGTTTCTTGGGTGTCTTTGTCTGCTATTTTTACTATGGGATCCTACAGGAGAAGATGTGAGTGGACCCTTGGGGGGCAGGACTGCTAACATCCCCCAACCAGGGCCGGCATCCAGTACCCACCGCCTGCTTTACGGCCTGATCCTCAGGCTTCCTGTGTGTGGTATAGGTCTCCCTCTTCTCCGGCTCGGCCCTCTGACCTCTTTTGCACTCTGCTATTATGTGTTGCCGGCTGAGCATCCTTGTGGTTCTAAAATTCCAGGGCTGGCCTCTGGATTTTGGAGACGCGATTCTTTTTCTTCCTTTAGATGTTTTTACCTTTATTTATTACAAGAGCGTTCTGTGACCTGAGAACCAGGTCTTTATTAACTCTCGGGTGCTTGCAGACCGCTAATCTTACTGTTCTCTCTCTTGCTTTCCTACTGGGGATACTTTTTATCCCGCTATCTGACTTTCCTTGTTGCCCCTAACTGTATTCTTTATGGATATTCTTTCTTTTGGTTATGGTATCAGTAGACTAGCCTATCTAGTTTCTAGGTTTAAATCAAATCGGCCCCTTTGAGTAAATAAACTCAATGATCCTTATTAACTCTCACTACATCCACAAAAGCACGATATTTCCAAAGCCCTCAGTGACTCTGAACATACTTGATGACACCGAGTGACACATACTAATTTCTCCTGTCTCTTTTTCTTGTATTTCATCGTAGAACAAGAGGAAAGTATGGGGAAGGACCCAAACAGGAGACATTCACCTTTGCCTTAACTTTGGTTTTCATCCAGTGCGTGATCAATGCTATGTTTGCCAAGATCTGTGAGTACCTCCTAGTAATTTGTTTGGTGCACCCACCTTTTCCCCATATTCTGGACATTAGATGTGGATTCATCTTTAAAGTCTAAGTTTTCCCTACCTCCATACCCTTGAAGATTTAAACAGCCCTTCTGCAGTCTGTAAAACCAATGGTTGTGAAATGAGATTAAAATATTAGGTCTCTAAATTATACCAACTTTTGAGTCTGAAATGACTGGGCCTTCTGTATTCCAAATCCCCACTGAAAATACTTAGAACATTTTCCCCTTTATCCCTTTGACTTTGCTTTGTATGACAGCTTCAAACATGTCTTTGTTCCTTGAAGCCTATTGGCAGAGTTAAGCCATCCTTTCTAGAATTCAATGAATCCCTACCTCCCCTCTGCATGTGGTCTTGTTAGGCTTAAGGGGAACTGGAGAGATGAATAATTTTCAGAGATTTCCCAGCTTAAGAGAATAGAAATGGCTGTCTTACTTGACAGCCAAGTTCCTTTCCTATCGCCCCAGCCTCTGCTTAGTGGTCCATCCTTGCCCCACTGGGTTTCTCTTGTATGTTTTGTTTGTTTTTGTTTTATTTTTGTCTTCTCCCAGTGATCCAGTTTTTTGACACTGCCAGGGTGGATCGTACTCGGACCTGGCTCTATGCTGCCTGCTCTGTCTCCTATGTGGGTGCCATGGTCTCCAGCAACTCAGCACTACAGTTTGTCAACTATCCAACTCAGGTGAAATCTCAGGGTGAGACGAGAGTTGGCTCAGAATTGTGTGGACAGGACTAAGGGGTCTTCCCTAAGGTCTGAGATTTAAATAAAAAGAAACAGTCCTAGGGTCTAGGGATGTAGCTCAGTTGGTAGAGCTTGCTGAGCATGCATGAAGACCTGGGTTAGGGCTAGGGATGTAGCTCAGTTTTAGAGCTTGCTGAGCATGCGTGAAGACCTGGGTTCCATCCCCAGCACTGCATGAGCCAGGTGTGGTGTTACGTGCCTCCAACCCCAGCACTCAGGAGGTAGAGGCTGGGGATCAGACTCAGAGTCACAGTCATCTTCAGCTGTATCTCCAGTTCAAGGCCAACCTGGGCTACTTGAGACTATGCTTCAAAAATAAATAAATAAATAAATAAGAAAAGAAAAGAAAGGGGGTGGAGAAAAAAACCAGTCATAGCAGAGTATGCTTGAGAAGAGTGTAGAGTGTAGGACCATAGAATTGGGGTATGAGTATGGGTCTGGCCGTGACAGGATAGCTTCTTGAGGCCAAGTTCTCTGGTACAGTGCCAGTGCTAACGCCTTTTAATGCAGCACCTGCGACCCTTCCTGGCACATCACAGGTGCTCAGAAATCACTTGCTCACTTTTATTTCAGGTCCTTGGTAA